GTAGTTTGCGGGCATTGCACTATTGCTTCCCTTGGAAAGGGGGCGATTATTCCACGCTTCTACATATTTGGAGTTTGCATCTCATTGAAAACTGGGAAAGCGGTCCAACTAAGCTCGTGACAGATACCAGTAATGACTTGTGGCGTATATTATCTGGACCAGTGAAATCAGTTGCTTCAGCACCTCGGCGGCTGTGAAGGAGCTGTGGCTAATTCCTAATGGCGATGTGGTGACAATGGTATGAGATGACGATGCGTTCTGTAAAATATGAGCAAGTTGATATCTAAAAGTATATATGCATCTTGGTAGTCTGCGCTCACCCACACACGGTGTGTGGAAGTGGGAGACCCCTTTGTACTTTGTGAATTTTGTTAACATGCCTGTAAAGTATCAGCTAATTAGAGTAGAACTCAAATCCTTCTGGCGTTTCAATTGATCTTTGTGGACAAGTTTGTCATAGTGATTTCGCCCGGTTATTCAAGCAACCAAATTTTCTGTGTTTGGATCGGATTGGCATATTTGCCAAAGTGAATATCTCAGGGTCAATCGTTTCCGCGTCCTGTTCCTCATGAAGAACTTTAACTTTTCTGAGCTAAGTAACTTAGTCACTGACGTGTTTGTTACTACATTGTTTAACTGATTGACGAAATTTCCCCAAGTGACATGCGGTTGTTTTGGTAGGAACAACCAATAAGTAACTTTGATGCGCTCGATTAAATGCTGTAAGGTGTTACTACGCTGACCTCGTCAACACCAAAGCTGGACTGTTCTGTGTAGCAGACGTAGTCGATAAGCGGTGTTGCATGATCACCGTGCCATAAGGCGTCACCCACTTACCTTGTCATTCATAATCACCTCATTGGTAAGGAGGGGATTCAAAATGGCAGGCTTATTCCCCGTTCTGAACCGCGTAAGGGAGGTAACGTGACTATAAACTAGTAGGCCAACAATTAATTCTTGTAGTTCGGTCTTAAACTGTTCGTTAGAAGACGCCTGCATTGAATTCACCCACTAGGAGAAGGTGAGAGTTAGACTGAGCTAGAACCATCATCCGCGCAGAAGATAGACGGTTGTCCAACTCCAGTGCGATTGTGTGAACATGCTATGCGAGGACAAGTAAATATGTAGCACCGTCTAACTTGCAGGTGACACCAAAGTGAGTCCACAACTTGTGTCTCTAGGTCGTAAATGATTTGAAGATATAAGTCACTGGGATAGTAATAGAGTATGTCATGCCCCATACTAGGTCGATCTTCACGTGCGACAAACATATATGGTATAGCGATCGCCGCATTGGTGAACTCATCGTTCAGCAAACTTTCGGTTATCATCATCAGGTCCACAGCCATCGAGGCTTGACAAGATTGAAGCTCGGATTGTTTGTATAAAATCACCTGAGCAGCAGTGTAAATACAGGAGAGTGTCTCGAAAGTAAACAATCTATTACGTGTCACTACAGACGAATAAATAAATAACTGGTATATTCCCAGGCGAGGCATAGTCCAACTGTGTAGTTTGGTAAATGACGGCAATGGTTACTGAATTAGAGCAATAAACCACATTGGATGTTTGTATTTATCATTAAGTAGTGAAGGAAAGTGTGCTGTTCATTTTTGTCGCATTTGGTGTACTGTTGTGGCAAATAGTATTCCACTTGGGAAGGTGACGATTAGATTTTGCCACCTCAAAGTTTGAATACCAAGGTGTATAGATGGGTGTTTGACAACTAATAGCCATTGAAGACAGCTATGGTGCCAGTATACACTGATAACTTGGTAAAAGCTTCCAGGGATTGTATATTAGAAAGACGAAATATTTGCGGCGGCGATCTAGGCGATCATAATGCCACGCACTTCCAATTGCTTATCTCTTAGGATGACGTTGCTGATGATATTCAGCTAGTGGAGGGATAGATGAATGGAATACCTACAATTTAAGCACATCATTAGGAGGCCATTAGATCACCGGAAATAGCGCCTGGCAGGAACCCAAAGAATGCTAGCCGTTTGCTAGCAAGCAAGGTAAATTGAAACTTTGCATCACCTAACCTTACAGAACATTTTCGTGCAATGATAAATTTTAAGTTTAAGTACACTTGAGCATTGTGCAGCCTAGTATAAGCGATGGCGGTAAACGTTCCAAGAACCCTGTGGGAGAAAACTTTAGTTGGCATTCTCGCAATTTCTTCGCATATTCGAATCAACTTTTCGTCACACATTAACCAAGTGTCTGCGTAGTAACGATGTGAAGCTGCGGGATACATAACCGGCGATGGAGATAGGAATCAAAGCCACTCGACCACATTACCAGTTCAGCTCCGATGAATTGAACTTCCATGTGACTGATACTTACAAATGAGTAATAAGCCGCGGCATCTGGAATTAAGTAACTAAACATGACCGCCTCTAGCGGTCATGGGTTCCATACTCCTTAGAGGACCGAGGGAATACGCACAACTGATGAGCCCCAACAGGGCGAAACGCGTCTGGTGCTTTTCCGGACTAGGCTCTGCTATGTAGCTTGTGAACTACTGGGATGAAAAGCTTAAGAAAATAAATAATCAATTTATTCTCGAAAAGTTTGAGGCACAAGTGGAGGCACGATCATAAGTTTACAAGAATTTATGAATGGTCAAGTAGAAGTTCCTCAAATGCAGACAGTCGGACAGACAATACATCCGGAAAACACTGTACGGCCGTTTCATCCCCTCGGGAATCGCCGGTAGTGCGCATTCCATCTGACCCTTGTAATGCTCAAACCCGCAACTTGACTGTTGCCAGTCTGTGCTTAAGATCACTATGAGGACGCTAACGACCGCCTTGACTGTTCCTAAATATGGAACAGTGCTGCTCATCATATCGATGAATTTCTACCTACACCATCCAACTCCTACTACTACTCATTTGTAGTTCATACGCAGACCAAACTGTTTATAGTGTCATAAGTTAACTGACGGCCCAATGTTGGTAACTGCTGTTTATTTAAGGGGCTATCCTGTCCCCTGCACGGCATTAACGCGCGAGTCAGTGAATATTGAGCTGTGCTATATGACCTTTAGTAACTTAGTCATGACCGTCATTTCCATTCTCCGTAGCTCAGTGAGCTCAACCACGGACTGGCCACAGGCGAATTGCGAGTTCGAGCAATACGGGAGTCAGATGGAATGCGCACTACTGACGAGTCTTGAAAGGATGAAACGAGTGTGCAGTGGTTATCCGGGCATGTGATATCTGTCTGAGTGTCCAGGTATGACGAACTTCTACCTATACAATTCAATTCCTTCTATTGCTCAGCTGTATTCTTGTATGGTCGAACACAGGATAGAAGAACCATCAAAAACTTTTCAAATGTTGCATAATACCAGTAAAAGCATGGTAGAAGACAAATATTCTGCACAATTGTGGTTTTAAGCAAGAAGAGGAAGGTGTACCACCTAGGGGAATAATAAGGGTCGCGCAAAAATTGGTACTCTTAACTGTAGAAGCAAATGTAAGTACCAGCCGAGGCAGATTCGGAACATTCCCTGGTTAGTTCACTCCTTCAATCTGTCGTAGGGGAACTTTAACCATGTAATAACATTTTTGAAGAACACTTAAGTCGGGCACATAGCACAATGCCGTGAGTTAAAGGGTCGGAAGATGGGGAAGATCAAATAACCGTGGAAATAATTCCACATATAAGTACTCCATCAATAAAGAAAATGGGGCTGTCAAAGAAGTAAATCGTATGTGTAGAGTAGTCGTTGGAAGTTAGAGTAATACTGAATATTGTATTGTGAAATCAAGTAAAATATTGCCTCTATACAATTCCATCGGAATATAATTAAAAATGTTATGCGGATTTTGAGCGGTTCTCCGAGCTGAATGATTATTGTGCAGACGTTTCGTTGCCTGACTAGGCAACATCATCAGTGCGGTTTCAGGGGCCTGGTTCGCAGTGCCTCGTAAGCGACTTCAATGTCACCGGCGTACTTTAAGTTCTTAGTTGGCCTTTATAACATATTTAGGAATATATTAGTTAGGTAGAGAAATGTTTTCTTCGCCCACCATTAAGCTACTTGAGTGTTCAGTCCGTCTGCCTTAAGATAATGCAACCGAAGACGGGTTATTGTGCTGCCCACAGCTATAGATCATAATTAATTCCTAGCCGCCTATCATCCGGACAAACGCTCGCAAAACTTCGAGGAACGATCAATAAGTTGAGAGTAGAAGCTGATATTTTAGAGCAACTGCGACAGAAGACTACTCCAATGCTGCAGTAAAATCTACACAGTTGTGTGGTGTAAATGGTCATCGAAGTTTCAAGATCTGAGCTGAGGAAGATGTTGCTCGATCTCATTGTGTGGAGCTAGGTTCGAAAAGGCGTTTATACGGTTGTCAGAAAGCACCTTTTCTCCTCGCCTGGCCACAAATTCTAACTAGTTATTTTACTTTGATACGACTCAGTTCCCACTGAGAAGAATAAAACTATACGTGGTAGACAATTGTATGCTTTTTTCTGCGCATTCACGTTGTCAGCTGTACGATGCTCGTGTGGCCACTGTCCTATCGTCCATTGTGTTTATGTGCGCAAATTTCTCACTGTATTTACTTCTGGAATCAAACTGTGATAAATATTGTCTTATTCAGACTGCTTAGACGAATTGCACTTGGGGAGTAAGGTGAAAGCGTGCAGCTTTTTGGGTAGAGTGTTGATCTTATCAAAATTTGAAGGTCGCTAGCTACTACAGATGTCTTCGGCTTCTTCCCTCTGCCATCGTTAAATTCAAGTGAGTTTTATGGGCAGTGGTTATCAGAGAAAATCCACGCATTTCGTCCTCCCCATTTCAGATGCATCCCCTGCTGAGGAGAGCCGACCGTGCTAGGGGCACCTCATTGACTAACTAGCCAATGGCGTAACACAGTAGCCAATCAGGCCTGTCTGTCCGCGATCTACGTACCAATTGCCCTCCCGATTATCGGCGCCAGACGCAGGATAATGTTTATTTACAATCGCCGTACGACTTATCTCAAACGCGAGTTCCAAGAAATTAATTACACATGCCCGAACTGATCCGCTTGAATACTGATCTCCTAGCTGGATTTTACTGCGCCAAACTCCGACACCGTAGCTGGCGTTAGCGTACATGCGGACACGTCCAACTATCCCATGGAATTCAGGTTGGTTTGCCATTGAGCTGTTGAGTTGTACTGTCCAAATACCCTAAACAATTTACCCACCGCCCTGTATTCACTATGAAGTCGAAAAGTCAGTAGCACAGGGACATAGCAGTATCTTGTTTTATATTACAAACAATTCGAACGTTAGATTATAGCCTATGTGATCGCTACCAGAGGCTCAACTGACTAGTCAATTGCATCAGCCGCCTTGCCACAGAACCTCTACTTCCTCCTTGACTGAACTTAATATGGCTGAACTGAATGCCTACATTTCCTTCCTATAAGAATATTCAGCACCCAGCTTACCTTGCTAAAGAATGTATTTAGGCTTATACAAAAGAAATCCTTGCTTTGTGCTCAAGTCAGCTGAACCCCGATAGCCGAGTTCCTTCTATCTTGTCCACTCCAGCTAAACACACCATATAAAGCTTGAAGTTTGTACACTGATAAGATTTATTACATTGTCTGCACTTGACCGCTTTCACCAGTCGTTCTTTGCTTTGGATAGTGATCGATTTCTTGCGGCTTAACGTGTAGACGTCGATGCTGAAGGCCACATACCGGGATTTCAATGCGGAAATCTAAATCCTTGTGCAATAGTAACCAACAACTCGTGTGATGTATGCATTTCTAAACACTGGTGGTAACTAGTTATTCGCCATTAACCGGAGTAAATTTGTATAGCGAGGCGTCACTAGGAGCTTTGAGTTTGAGTTCAATATGGGGGCATCTAATCATGTGTAGGAGTACCGCAACCGCCATACATTGATAAGTCGGCAAATTGCGTCTGTTCCCTCAAGCTGGCTTCCCTACTAAGTCTTCCAAATATCGGTGGTTAATATTAGATCCAGCTACCATATGATACATTTCCGTGGAACGAGGTAACACCGCACACGGAGATGTGCGGTATCAGCGGTTTGAACGAATACTGTCGGTAGATATTGTCTAGTTGAGGTTTCAACGTAATGTAACGACATTCCTCCGAATGCACCGCGATGATTTCTGATACCTACAGAACGGCCTCTGCTCCTCTGTTGAGACACCTTGGAGCATCTCGACTTTCAATGCCTACGTGGCACCACCTCCTTTTGATTGCATCAAACGGGTCAGCTCCGGTTGAATACATGTGTATAGAGACACAGGGAGACTTCCGACGGCATGATGCTGTAATAACTACAATAATTGACCACCTCAACAAATCATACAAAATTAGTTTCTCAGTTCTCCTACCGCTGTGTTGGTTTAAAGAAGGGTGGATCAACAGAAATAAACACCCAGAATCGAGACGCGCATTGCGCAAGTTGGTGTCCACTCTCTTATATGTAGCAGGCACGCATTCAAGACGATAATTTATTAAGGTTATGATGTCAGCCGCCTCTTCATACTTTGGTTACACTCTTTAGCGGACGGATTAAGCAAACCTATTGACAAGCCTAATAAATAGAATTATACTGTTCGCTGAAACCCATTTGTCTACTCCTCTGCTACGGGGTCAGTTGTGCTTTATCAGAAAATTTTATAATCAAACAAACTAGTAGGGCTATCAGTACTTTTTCAACTAACAAACACGCGGAACATGTATGGGACCCCGAAATTTGCACATGGGAATAGCGGAACTACTGGTTTAATAACCCAGTTTACGTACGATAAAGCGTGCACGTATGCGTATGCGTGAAGCAGGCCAACTTTACGTTCCGAGGATATATAACACAAGGATGGATGGTTCATTTGAAACGCATGAGTAATGAATTGGCTTGGCTGAAGGATAGAAGCGACGGATGCTCTGTTTGACTGAACATCTACTTGTTATGTGAACCCACGTTCCTACATATTTAATCAATGGCAACTCGGCTACGGTGGGAATGGCTTGTGTGTGTGTTTCTGCCAAAGTGTATAAGCCAGCGTCATTCAACTTGTCTCTTGTCCAACGTAAATTGTCGTGACATTTTGTTAACGTAGCTAACTCTGAAGTGGTTATTATTAGAACAGTAGGACAACTCACAATCAGTGCAGCCTCCGTCGTATATAGTCAAGGGAATTTATTAAAATTAGGCTTTTCTGGGGTAAACATGCTCAACTGGGCAACAATTTTGTTTACTTCTCAATTAGAACCTAAGCTTCATGGCCAATATGTTGCGTGATAAGGGGTTCATGTCCACTGTAAATTGGTAGGTTAGTGGCGACTCATTATCCAAAGGGGCGAAAAACGCGTCAGTTAAGCCAAAGCTACAAGTCAACAATTACATCTTGGTGCAGCAATTGTTGATTATCAATGTGAAAAGCACGGAAAGAAGACGAAGGCTGGTAGATGCATGCATTTCGTATTGTCTCCTCAGTACCATTAACAACAACCGATAAGCATAGATATAGCTAACAGTGGGTGCAACCAGACAAGCTTAAGGTGCAAAATGAATGACGGAAGTTCACACCTATGTCCAAGGCAGCTTTAGGCTGACAAATAATTGTTTCTGAACACACAAGGCTGGCTTAATCCGGCTAATTGCGACAGCCTCAGCAAACCGAAGGAAGCGGGGATTAGTGTGACCTAACACAACATTAAACGCTGAGCCCAGCTCCAATTGGTGACCCGAGTCTAATAGGTGTTTGCCTATCGAGGAAGCCGGCGGTCTGCGCGAACATGGAATCTGACGAGGGTAGGCAATCTGAGCAACTTCACGTTGAACCCATCTTGGCACATGTTCCTTTATTCGGGAAGTCAGCGTTCTATTGGTTCTGCCTATGTAACTTTTTCCGCAGTCACAAACAAATTGGTATACACAGTGTGAGTTGGCCCCAATAGGCTGAGCTTCCAATGTGTTTTGATTCTAAAACAGTGGTTGTCAATGACGATTGAAAGGCGTCTTAACTTCCTAGTGAAGCTCCAAACAACCTTCTAATACGTTGAAAAATAATGTCATAACATTAGGTCTGCTATTGCCTGGTTGAATTTTGGTAATTTCTATTATATACCCATTTACAAGCAAGCTTTTGTATGGCTTCCAGAGACAATTCCTTTCTTCGCTAACCCCTGTACCAAAATTAGATCTCGTTTTGTCAGCGATTACGCAATTCCAACCCCCGACTTTATAAAGACTTGCGTTTTAGTAGCGAACTGCGATAAATTTGTCGCCATGCATTGTTATTTTGTTGCAGTTCCAAGCACGCTGTTTGCGCGCAGTGCAAATGTTCCTCTTCGTATGATTTTCATCCCGTATTTATTCAGTTTGCTAATGAACTTTAAAGCTCTCTTCAGTGAGATGGTAACTTAAGGAAAGCCAAACTGCACACAATTCTTTTTAGAGCTTGAAAATATGCGCTTTCTCCTTCAAAAGTAAAAAGAAACACACTGAAGCTGTTCTATAATCGGGCATTTCAGTTTGCTCATCTATGTTTGAAAACTTCACTAACAAAGAAATCTTGAACGATACTAGAATTACGAAAAGGTGAAACAAATATTTGTGATCCAAACCAATCTTTGTCAAGCGTTTCCTGATGGTTTACTCAAGCAGCTAATGTTAACTGCTTGCATTTGTTAGCCGAATCTATTGACAACATAAGCTTAGCTGGATGAGCGTGTTGTTCCTGCAATTTATCGAAAAGCAACAACGGCGCCTCCTTGATGACAATCTACTGACTCTGGAATGCATGCAGACAGATGCGATGGTGCATAAAGGATAAGTTACATAATTATAATATTTTGTTCAGTGTCACTGTCTACGTTCTTCGCATGAACAGAGTATCGTACCATCGCAGTGTTCGTTTCTTGCTTAACACTTCAGTGGACGTGCAAACAGAGGTAAAAATAGGTTTCGGCCCACTAACTTATGTGCTGTAAGGAGTGTGTTTGTGTGAGGCATTTAACTCATAGCAGTTAGGCTAGGATGACTTTGAGCGCAGTTAATAAGCACGGTGTTTTATGAATTTGGAACGATGGTTGTCAATGACGACCAGAGGGTGGGTTATCTTCCTCGGGAGGTTCCAAACGACGTTTTACTTAGTTGGGAAATACCCTACCTTAGCAAAGGGTCAGTTTTTGCTTGAGAGGATTTTCATGTTTCCTTAGCATTGCACAACTCAATCAACTGTCAAATGAGTACTACTCGCATCCACGCCACGTTTTGGAAGTTACCTAGGACGAGAATTGATGTATCTCATTCTTCACGAACAAAGTTGTGATTGGACACATCCAACCAGTTGTGAGCAAAACGGTTTTGCCTAATGTACTAATGGTTCTGTGCGTAACATGTTCGTGGAAGGGTTGCAGACAAGAAATCCATACTACTTGACACCGAGACTGCGAAGTACATAACTGCTTCACGGCCACTCTGAAATTAATGTCCCAGCTTTCACATTTGGGATGCTTTTTGTTCCATTGGTTTACCAATACGTGTCTGTAGCAATGAGAATAGAAATCCAACGGGGTGCTTGCAGGAAACTGAGTGAACCTCCTTTGTACAAACTGTTAGGACAAGTCGATATTAGTTTACTTGAAATGATCATGAACAACTAGGTTAGTGATCTCACTTACTGAAACCTCTGTCATATTAAGGCAGAGACACTGTCAAACCTTTCATTTGCTATGTAGTTAGAGGGGAAGTAGAAACATATTCATTAGGGATTCATCAGTTCCCTAAATGTTAGTTTCCGTCTGCCAGAAGAACATGGGCTAAGAAATATTATAATATATTCTTTAGCACTTCACCTTAACGGTTATTTTGTCTAACCTTAACTAAAAACTGTCGATTTCCCTTGTCATGTAAGATAGGGTATTAGTAAACGAAGATGAGACCGAAAGAACATTTACCCTTGTGGTGAGATCTCCGGATATCCATATGCAGATTAATAGGAGGAAATATCAGGTATCCCAGGAAGCAACAAAAGCGGAATGTAGTATATATACTACGGCTGATTTCTCATGCTGTATAGAAGAGATAGGGCAAGAATACTTCATTGAGGTACCGCGTAAAGGTGACCACGGTGACCACACACACTAAGTACTG